TACCAGTCTCTTCATCTCCTATTATTAGTTAGTGCTTGTGTGTACCCTTTTGCCATTTGTCTGTCAAATCTTTTTACAGTATAAAAGCCTACCTATCACTTAAAAGATCTATAAATCTAAGTAGAATAAATAAATATATATTCAGCATATTGTTTTTGCTTTTTATTTCATTATTTTGCCTTTAATCTTTTGAGCAATGCCACACCGACATAAGCTGCGTGTATAAAGTAACTTTCTTTTTCTCATAAAATTTTTCACAGGATCCACACATTTTTCATTTGTTCTGAAAACAGTTTCATCAGTATATCTATGCCCTATCTATTACTAAAACAAAAGCTGAAATGAGTTTTGGATTAGTGCTTAAAGGCTGGAGAAGGTCTGGAGAATGCCACAAAGATTATCCAAGGACTGGGAAGCCTGCTATGTGAGGAAAAAAGGCTCAGAGAATACCTTATCAGTATTTAAAGGGTGGCTACAAAGAAGATGGATACTCCCTTTATACATGTAATCACTGGGACATCTAGTGTAGGTCATGCTTGGCCTAGAAAGATTGGACCAGATAATCCCTGAGGTACCATCCAACCTGGTACTCTATGACAGATTCTATGACTGATTCTCCTTGAGCAGCAGCTCAAAGCACTGTGATTTATATATACTAAAAGGTATTCAGGACCTGTAAAAAGCATCTGAGGATTTTTGAGTGAAAAAAAAAAAAAAAAAAAAGGAAAATAGTAGGAAAAAACAAAAAGAGGCAAATAATGGACTTGCTCTGATAGCACCCTTTGAACCACTAAGTCCAAAACAAACTTTCTGTTAGAAGATTATCTGAACTTTGTCTTCTTGACCAATGTAAAAGATCATTTGGAATCAACAGAAGAGCTGCATGTGATGTTTTGACAGATGTTAGAAGCAACAGGCCAAACACCACCCCATTTCTTATTTGATAATTTGATTTAATATACCAGTGATGTTCTAGCTATGCAGCAGAGGGATTTTGCATTAGAAGCATTTTAGTACCGGTCAGGCTGACAACTGCCATGATGGCAAAATAATGTGTAGAATGTAATGGCTGTACCAAAAGCAGATCTCTTTGCATTATAATGTCAAACCTGTCCCCTTCTTTTATCAATAGCACCATATGCTATGCCAGAGCTCACTAGGTATGTTATTTTCTTGTTTTGTACAAAGTCTGTTTGAAGAAAGAAAGCCTCAACCTGGTAAAAAGTACTCGAATCTTGTGACATGAGTGGGATTACATAGTTTTAACTACAGCACATTTGTAGGAAAGAGAAAAACTAATCTTCAAGATCACTTTCTTCTACCATTGCTTTAGAGGCAAGGTCTGCCTGCTGCTTCACCTGAGGAGCTCTGCTCATCTGTTCCTCCTCCTCCTCAAAATGAGACTTGAATAACATCCTCACAAAATAAGCACATGAGATGCAAGCAGCACTGAACTTGTTGCTAGTGCTCAGTGCTGTCACAGAACCATAAAATCATAGAACGGTTTGAGTTGGAGGAGACCTTAAAGATCACTTAGTTCCAACCACCCCTGACATGGGCAGGGGCACCTCCCACTAGACCAGGTTGCTCCAAGCCACGTCCAACCTGGCCTTGAACACTGCCAGGGATGGAGCAGACACAGCTTCTCTGGGCACCCTGTGCCAGTGCCTCAGCACCCTCACTGTAAAGAATTTTTTTCCTAATATCTACTCTAAATTTCCCCTCTTTCAGTTTAAAACCATCACTGCCTGCACTTGTAAAAAGTCCCTCTCCAGCTTTCTTGTAGGCCCTCTTTATGTGCTGGAAAGCTGCTTTAAGCTCTTCCTGAAGCCTTCTCTTCTCCAAGCTGAAAAAGCCAAACTCAAAGCTTGTCTTCATGCAAGAGGCACTCCAGCCCTCTGAGCAAATTCGTGGCCTCCTCTGGACTCACTCAAGCAGGTCCACGTCCTACTTGTGTTAGGGTCACCAGAGTAGAAGAGGTGTGTGGTACCGTGGGCTATTTCCCAAAGTATGACATTTATTGATGACAAGCACACTTTTGTCTTCCAAAGCTTGCTCTGCTGCTGTGGGTTTTGGCCAGTGGTGCATGAAAAGTGTTTGTGTGCCTGTCCTGCACTCATCCATTGCATGGAGGGAGAGCTGGAAAGCAGCAGCTGCTGATGGGGCAGCAAGGCTGGAGCCCTCCCAAGCACAGGCTTGCTGTGAACAAGCAAGAACCCCCAGGGAAATGCAGCTAAGGGAAGAGCAGAGTTCAATCCTGCTATGAGTCTGCACTGGGCATGAGTGGCCCTGGAGTGCAAGAGCAGCGGGCAAGAACCAAGTCCAAGGGGCCCAGGGGATCCCTGACATGGAGCTGTGCTCAGTGCTGCAGAGGACAAGCAGCAACCCCCAGGGGCAACCCTGGAGTCTAGAAAGCTTCCTCCCCCCTGGATGCAGGGCACGAGGGCCACCTGCATGGAGCATGAGCAGGCACCTAGTGAAAATGGCCCAGAGAAGCTCTGGCAAGGTGCCATGCTCAGTGCTGCAGAGGAAGGCAAAAAACTCCCAGGAACACTTACGAGCCCACTGTGGGGGAAAGGAAGCCTTCCTCCTCCCAGCTGCAGGACGCGAGGGGCCACCTTCGTGGTGCATGAGCAGCAGGCAGTAACCTAGCCTGAATGCGTCACAGGAGCCCTGACAAGTGGTCATGCTCAGTGCTGCAGAGGAAGGCAGAAAACCCCCGGGGACCAGTGCCAATCTGCCCCGGGGGAAAATTCTTCCTGACCCCAGCATCGGTGATCGGCTATCCCTGAGCATGGGAGCAAGACCTGCTCCTGGTCCACAGGCTGGTCATGCCTCCTCAGAGATGCTCAAGCCCTATTCTCCCTCAACCTGGAACCACCTCAGAGTGGCCAAATGCCCCCGACCTGATTGACCTTGAGGGCAAGAATTCTTCCATGCCTGGTAGGGCACCAGTGGGTGCTCCCTTTCAATGTATCTGCGTCCCATTTCTCACAGCTACTGCCCCTGGCTCCATGGGGAATGAGAATGGTGAGCTCAGCAGTGCTCCTCAAGAAGGCATTCCCATTACTGGGCCATGGCTATCCAGCTGAAAAGGATTTCTGTCCTTCAGATGAGCTTTGAAGGTGGCCCCAACAGGAACTGACCTTGCAGTGTAGAACATCCAGCAGCCTCTTCCAGGCTCTGGTCTTCTTCCCTCTGCCCCCTCTAAGTAATTCCAACAGCTCATGGACTTCTCAAATGTCTCTGGGCTTTCCCCAGGCCATTGGTGGCAGAGGAACATGGGAGGATGATCCCTTTTATGCTTCATTGTGACTGCTGTATTGCTGGGTGGTGGCACTGTGATATGGGGGTAAGAAGGTCCTCTGTGTGCAACCCTGCATGCTGCCTCTCTGCCCAGCATCCTCTGGAGGAAGGCCTTTGGGGTTTGATGAACTGTAGTTATGTCCATTAAATGGGTGATGGGATTGTAAACTGTCACTTCCTGACTTTCCCTCTGAGCTCCACCACACCTTAGGAAAAATGCTGTCAAAAAGCAAGAGCTGATAAAATTTGAACCCTGTAGGGAAGACTAAACTGCTCTAAAGCACTTTTACAGGACTTTGAAGTGACTCAGTTAATGTTTTTATGCTCCTTACTGTCAGTCTCAAGGAAGACCTTTGCTTGAGGCTAGTTTCAATGTAGAAAACCTTAGCAATCAAATCCCTTTAAAACTCTCCACATGATGCACTGTTCATAGGTGAACAGATGCTTTTAGGAAAATCCAAAGAAATGCTAAGGATTAAAAGAGGAATGCAAAGGGAAATCAAAACTCTGTGCCTACAGCTACAGTTCCTATTAATGAAGGCAAAGCTAGGTATATTTTGTTACTGAACTTCGTTTCAGTCTTCCTGGCATGATTTTAGTGCAGTAATTTGGGTTAAATGAATGATAACAATGAAACTCAATGAAACTTTTCTTGTGTAACTCTCAATTTTCTTGTTTTGCTTGTGGGCTTTCCAGATCTTCTGCTTAAAAACAAGAGAGTGCTGCTAATAAGTAAAATGAAGGCTATAACACGTAATTGTTCGTACTTCCTTATCTGGGTGGGAAGACAGTGCTGTAATTAAAGTGCAGAATTCCATTGATCCAGACAGCATGTAGCTAGTTCACTGACAATTCTGTCTCCCTTCACATTAGCAGCATGTGATGCAGGTATATTGCTTGTAAGGAGTTACAGGCAGTACAATTGCAAATTTGGACATACCTATATTTACACGGCATACTACAATACCAAAGCTGACATAAAATTTCATTTTGTGAGTTGTGAGACAGACATGCTTAAATCAGATAAGCTTTGTTTGTAAATTATTGAAGGTGTAATTATTTTGTAACCTATAAAGCAACACCTCACCAGTACCTCTCATTCACACAAGCCCTATAATATTACAAGTAGCGCAGACTGGGAATGAAGTCATTAAGAGGAGATTGCAGTAGACCAACTAGCATCATAAACCATTTTAATAAATGCATGTCTAGATGCACCCTGCACTTACTCTTGATTCCCATGGGTTGTGCCGTACACCTACAAAACTCTCCTCTATGGAGAGGCTGAAAGAGAGCGAACAAGCAAGGATTAAGGCAACATAGGAAGGGAAATTCATTGTCCAGAGCCACAGCATGGCGGATGCTCTGCTGTGGGGCACTAGGACTCGTGTGGTTACCTACACCCTATGTCTTCATTTCTTGTGCCTTGCAAATTGTGTGTTTTGCCTTGGCTGTGCTGAGCTTATTGCTGAGTGGCAGGTACAGGAAAGCAGTTTCCAGCTAAGTGGACAGCGAGATTTTTGCATTACAGTCTAATGCAGAATTTGAGTATGTTAATAGATCTGCACATCACGAATTCCAGTGTTTGGGAAAAGCAGCTGAGCACTGGCTGCTGAGCTGTAGTCCCGTCTCTGGCTCCTTTTCTGTATCCAGAGGAGCTGTGGAGCCAGCCTGGGGTGCAGTTATTCTGAGCCCTCAATCACATGGTCTCAGAAACATCTTAATAAAATCTGACCAGCAACGCAGACAACAGCTTTGCCTCAGAATAAAACAGCTACCCAGGATCTCCGCACTGCAATAAATTGTCCTGTCCAGCCGAGGAGTGAGGAACTCTGACACCCAGCAAAAATGTCCGACAAAACCCCCTTCGAAACGGATATGCTAACGCTCACGCGATTTGTCATGGAGAAGGGACGCCGTGTTAAAGGAGCAACGGGGGAGCTGACACAGCTGCTCAACTCCATGCTGACTGCCATAAAGGCCATTTCCTCTGCAGTCAGAAAGGCAGGCCTTGCCCACATGTGAGTCCTACCTAGCTATAAGGGGAGGAAGAGGAGGTTAGAGAGACAGCTGCTTGCACAGGAAGGCTGGGGAGTGGGCAGGGATTCACAAATACGTTGGAAGTGTCTTTTTTAAGCCAAGTGACTGTATGTATGAGGCCAGAGCCTGGATTGTCGAGAGTGGGAAGTGGGAAATCTCTTTTTTCTGGATTATTTTAATATCAGCAGAAAGGCAGACATTTAAACTAACTGCTGTTACTCCAAAAATGTAAGCCAGAGCATCAGTGCATTGCTCACCTCATCATCCCTTGTAAATGTTGATATTGATCTACTTTTAAATCTACTGTGAATTTGAAGAATATCACACTGTGGTATTTTCAATGCAGAATATCACACCATGATATTTTTTGCTAGCATCCAAACCTGGTGCTGAGCTATGCAAATCAGAACTTGGCTTATCTTTGGGAGCTGATGTTCTGCCTCACTGCAGTATAACTGATGGTCTGAAGCAACAGACCTGCAAGAAATGCCATATGCTGCTACGCATAAGTGCATTTCCCTTTTCTTCCTCAAGCAGTATCAGGGGTACAGATGGGGAGTCTTAAAAGGCCCTGTATGGAAAACAAAAAACACTATTTGGCATGTAGTTGTTTGGCAAATAAATAAAGAAGGAATAAAGAATTGCCTTAGCAAAGCCTGGAATGAACCAAGCTGTTCCTCACACAACCAGATGAAATAGACATCAGTGTCATTGTTTTAATGGTGATCTATCTGAAGCAGTTCAGAGAGCTGGAATATCCTAATAAAATTATGTATTTAAAATATATAGGTTTTGTTACGTATCGATATACATGTTTCTGTACGTTCCTGCGTGTACACATGCATACCATGCATAAGAAAGACAGGTAATATATTTGTTAAGAAACACAACATTTGTCATTTGTTGGGCTTTTTGTTGTGGGTTTGTTTTTTTTTTCTTCCTGTGGAAACACCAAAATGTGTAAAACCTTGAGGGGGGGTGGGGCTTGTGCTTTGTTGGCTGTTAGACCATTTGGCCAAAGTCCTTTATGATCTTTGCAAATGGTGAATTCAATGTCTCAGTACTATCACTCTCACTTTAGAGGTATGGAACATAATATGTAGAAAGGACATAAGGCATACTCAAATTTAACCACAGCACCAAGCTCCTATGCCTTTAGCTGTTAAACTATAATTTGTCTCTGTACTCACTAGGTGAAGCTGAGCTGTTTTGCCTCCCTGACTTAGAGGAACAGTTGCTTTTGTCTCATTTTAATCTTTCAATATGCAGCCTCTGAAGTGTTTAATAAGTAGGAAGAACCTCTATTTGATATACTAGAGGTAGAATAGCCACCTAGTCTACAGGATACATGGCTACTGTGCTAATGAATCTTCCCCTCAGAAACAGAACACCTGTTATGTTAGACAGCAAATGTCCTTTTCAATAAACAAAAGATTCTGGTAATGAACCAGAAATATCTGACATAACCAAACACACAAATGAGTAACTTGCACCATTCAAATTACACCAAGTAACCATGAAAATTCAGAAATTCTCATGGCAAGCTTTCAGCCAGTCACTGGCTTGCATCCATCTGTATTTGTGAAGCTAGAGAGCTCTGATTTTTTTAGTGTCTCCAAATAGACACTGTGAAGTGTCTCCTTCAATGCTAAAGACCTCAGCATGAATTTTTAGCACATTTGCCATTCAAAAGTAAAGGAAGACTTTTTCCAAGATAAAGACTTGAGCTGGGAATGTGCCTGAAAACACACTAACTGAAGAATGGGTGCTAAGGACTCCCTGAAAATCATGGTTCTTTCCAGTATCTCAGACTTGGCACTCAAAAATAGAGTGCCCCAAACACTATACTTCTGAAAAGCTCAGGCAGTTTCGAGCTGTGAGTAAAATAAAAGATTTACCCTGCTTCCAGCTGATGCCTGCTGCTGACCAACACCTTAGGGACTTAGTTGTCCCTTTCATTTGTTTTTCTTTCTCCATAATGAATAAAAGTGTTGCATCTATTTCCTGCATGATTCGTTATACTTCTAAGATGCCCAGACCATGCACATCAGGACTAAACAGTGCTTCCTCAACTAGAAATCTCAGAAATACGTATACTACTGTATACTGCCTCATTAATATATTGCTAAAAGTGGAACAGGGAATGAAAGCATCATCTTAACTCAGCCAAGGGCCACTGAATGAAACAGACCTTGATCCTGGAACACAGTTCAGCATGAGGAATTATCTGGAGATGTCTTCAATGTTTCTGGTTTTGGGGTGGTTGGGGACTGAGTAGGGGAGCGTCAAAGGTCATCATGGAGCTCTGAGCAGCCAATGGCAGAAAATAATGCAGATGCTAACTGCCTCTTCTCCTTCCTCAAAGCTGCTGCCAGCTGTTTGTGGGGTTTCTAGGGAAGCCTGGCACCCACTGGGTGGGCTGGGGGCTCTGGTCTGTCCTGGAGAACGTCCAATCAGGAGCAAAAGGACCCAGATAAAGCCTCAAAAATGGTGCCTTTCTTATGCATGCTTTCGTTTTTTTGAGCAGCAGCAACCATCTCGTAATTCACCTAGTAGTTTAATCCAAAGATTAGAGGTTTGGGAAGATGAGAGGAAGGAGCCATCCTGACATGGGTTGGGTTTTTTTTCCTAAAAACCTGTAACATTGGCCTCCCTCCAGTTTCTTGATGTTTTCCCTTTTCTGTAGGTTTGGTATAGCTGGCACTGTGAACGTGACCGGGGACGAAGTGAAGAAGCTGGACGTACTATCCAACTCCCTGGTGATTAATATGCTACAGTCCTCCTACAGCACCTGCCTCCTGGTCTCGGAGGAGAACAAAGAGGCCATCGTCACCCCCAAGGACAAGCGGGTCTGTACACCGGCTCGGGCGACAGCAGGGGGCAGTCGTGCTTCACGTGTGGAAGCCAACCCTCCCCGAGGGAATGCGGAGCATTCGCGCTGTTACTGCGTTGTTTTGGTTAATAACCGTGGTGCAGGGCACGGCTTCAACAGCCAAATGAGCTGTGCAGGGTAAAATTATCATTAAAGTTCTGTGAAGGGGGGATACAAATAATTTTTGATCTTGCTAACACGCTCCAGATCTCACGTGTATGCGTACTAGTGTATTCCCTGGGCGCCAGTGCAACAGCTTTGGATTACATTAATAAATCGGCAACATAAAATGACAGGAGAGGCTGGCAGAACTGGGGTTTACATTATGTGTCCAGAGGAAACACCTGACTGTTTCATTAGGCTTCCCCCAGGAGGGGATCCTATTGCAGCAAGATACTGCTCACGCTGATGTAACCCAGCCTTTCCCCAAGATGTTTTCTTACTCTCAAACCTCCCATCACAGGCAAATCCTTTAGTCTGGAACAGAATGTAACAAAAAAAAAAACCAAACAAAAAACCCCCCACCTTTATTTACTTGAGGAAGATGCTTGCTTCCAGAATGAGTCACTCCTTTCGCTTTCAAGTGATTTCTTGCAATACTTGGCAGCAGAGGACTGCTCCTTTCTATCATCAGATTTTGTGCTGTCTGTGCAGAAACATGCTCTCTCCTCTTTCTCTGGCAGGTCCTGCACGGAGTGGGTCTTATGCTGCAGGGCCAGCTGGGCCAACAGCACAGCTCTCTCTGGCAAGCCATGTCAGGCATGCTTGCAGGACTAAACATAGTGATAAAAATATGGGTTTTGTCAAGTAAAAGGAGAGAATAGTGTAAGAATATGGATCACTTAACGCTTCCCTTGCCAATTCTGTTTTAGGGTAAATATGTGGTGTGCTTTGACCCCCTTGATGGTTCTTCCAATATAGACTGCTTGGCACCAATAGGAACAATATTTGCTATCTACAAGAAGGTAAGACAACAAAGCACACATGGCATGATATGCTTGGTGAAAGCAAAATTTGTTGGGTATGTCAACTTGCTTAGTTTCTTTCCTAGGTTCTGTAAGTGATCCACAGAGCCTGAGAAAGTAAAAGAGATGACACTGGAGATTCACATGTGCTAAAATGCTGCCTAAATTCCCAGGAAGGAGACATTCAGCCCCATGAAATTGCTGTGTGACAGCACTTCCCTCCTTCAGCCACACAGACACTTAAACAAAACCCTTTCACCATTAGGCAGCTGGGTAGCTGCTCAGTGATTCTTTACTCGCTGCAGGTGAGCTGAAGGGTGTCACAGTGCCTGTGAATCACAGTATTTGTATCATGGATACTGACTGGGGAGGGCTGATGGTCACTGCCTGGACTGTATTATGGCTAGCAGTTTGGTGACCTCCCACTGCGTGTTGTGTGCTTGTTACAGATGGGAGTTTATAAGCATGCTAACAAGTGAAAGCCACCTGAGGCTGAAGGAAGCGGTTACTTACAGCCATCAGGGCCCTGACAGTGTATCTGCTCTCATGGGGCTGTACAGAACAGCAACTGCGCAGCCAATTAATGAATGTTAATAGAGTCATGCCAAGTCTTGTGATTTGATTGTTAATCTCTCAGTAGCTGGTGTTTTTCCTAAACCCTGAGCTTGCAGTCATATGACTATGAGAGACCCTTGGCCATTACTATTGTGAAGTAACATTTACAGTACTGCAAAGAAGTCTTTACAGGCTCAGATGCTACACTTCAAACATATGAAGATAAGTTTTTAAAGTCTGTCCCACCTTCTAACTCATAATTTTCAACTGGCTAGTCCTCCTTTTTTACATTGTTAGGCAATACACGAATCATCACTGCTGAGAATATGCATCTACTAGCAAACCAAATAGTCAGGGCACGATCTCTACAGACTCATGACACAAGCCAAGTGCTGGAAAATGGCTGCCCACACTGTTAATGGTTAGTGCAAACCCTCATCATAGATGCAGGCCTGGCCAAACAACATTGAGATAATGACTGGGTATGGTTTGTGGAAAGAGCAGTCCAGGACTACCTCCAGTATCTTCCACCATCTTGGTTTTTGCAGGGAAAAGAGTTTAGCTCTATGGATACAGTTGATGCCATGTGTTCTTATGGTAAGCAAAGGGGCCCCCATCCTTTTCACTTACCTCTCTAAATATAACCTAAAAGACTACAGCACCTCCTAAGATTGACAGTGGGCAATAGCTGTGTTGTCCACTGTTCTTAAAGTTGGTAAGCAGCATCACATAAACACTAAACATTAGCTTTAAAAGCAAGTTATCAGAATTCCCTACCATCTTTAGCTCACCTGATAATGAGTATGAAGACTACAGACTGCCTAGTCTTCCGAAGCATTCTGCTTCAGAACAGAAACATTCCCCAAAAGACTCATATTGTTCCCAAATGTTCAAGTTTTCAATTTATTTTCCGATCCTTCCACTGTTGTTGCTCTAGCATAAAAATAGACATGAGCCGACAATGTGTGCTTGCACCCAGGTCAATCTTGGCCAAAGGAGCATGACCAGTAGGTCAAGGGAAGTGATTCTGCCCCTCTACTCAGCTCTGGTGAGACCCCACCTGCAGTATTGCATCCAGCTCTCGAGTCCTCAGTGCAGGAAAGACATGGACCTATTGGAGAGGGAGGGACCGGAGGAGGAATACAAAAATGATCAGAGGGATGGAGCACCCCTCTCATGAGAAAAGGCTGAGGCAGTTCAGCTTGTTGAGCCTGGAGAAGAGAAGGCTCTGGGGACACCTTATTGTGGCCTCTCATTTTTTTAAAGGGACCTGTAAGGAAGATGGGAAAAGACTTTTTATCAGGGTCTGATGCAATAGGACGAGGGGTGATGGTTTAAAACTAAAAGAGAGGAGATTGAGGCTGTGTGTTAGGAAAACATTCTTTACAGTGAGGGTAGTAAAACACTGGCACAGGTTGCCCAGAGAGGTGGTGGATGTGCCAGGCTGGATGTGGTTCTGGGCAACCTGATGTAGTTGGAAGATGTCCCTGCTCATTGCAGAGGGGTTAGACTAGATGGCCTTGGAATGCTTCTTCCAACCCAAACTGTTCTACGATTCTAGTTAACATATTTGTTGTAAAATACTGTTTCTAAGTTTCTGTTTTTCATGTGGGTGGATACCCTTCAGCACCTCATAAAAAGCACATTACATTGCTTCGTACAAACACTTCATGTACAAAAGAAAACCCTGCTGCTAGGATGAAGTGTGGTTTGTCAATTATAAGAACAACTTACCAATTTTCCCTGGGAAGTTAGAAACAATGTGGAATTTACAGTCTTTCACTTGCATAATTCTTTCCATTAAAATTCTAATTCTAAAGTACATATTAATTAATGCGTCCTTCTCTCAGAGAAGAAAATTTTATGGCAACGCTGCTAACTTTAAATACTATTAACTTCAAACCCTTTGAAATAATGAAATAATAATGCTTTATTGATTGTTACTGAAGAGTAGTACGAAATGAAGAAAGTGAGATGTTTATCCTGATGGATGAGAATCACTTAAGAAAGAAAACACAATTTCAAACTATTCAAGGTTCCTTTGGAAAAGCTATAAGAATTGTAATTCCAAAGGATGATCCTTAGCTCCTGTCTGATATTTATTACCTTCCAGTTCTCAGATGATTATCTGATTATCTCACCATGTCAACACTTCATTTCCACAGGCCTACCCTCCAGAACTGAAATATTTCGGAAAAAAAAATAATCAGAAAATAAAAAATTAAAAAAAAAAAGGATAGACAGCACTTTTCTACAAAGGTCAGACTCAGTGCCAGCACATTGCAAACCTGAAAATGGTTCTCTGGCTGCTCCCGGTCCAGAGCCACCACCATAGTGGCAGGAAAGCACTGTGTCAGTTTCATAGAGAAAACCACCAAAAAATAAATGTCATCTGAAGTTTATTTAATTTTCCACCTGGCTCTTACTTTCTGATGCATGGGTGGTATTGATAAAATAAGCAGAAACATCAAAAAAGCAGGGCTGAGGGAGGCCCCTTGTGGAATCAGTGGAAGTCAGAGCAAGCAATAGGACATTGACAGTCACTGCCGCTAAGGGGCTCTCAGCTGCTGCAGTGCAGAGGGTGGTGACAATATGTATTTTTTGCTTGGATTCTTCAAAATTTTTCATGCCACTGAGCTGAATCAACAACTCTCCGTTCGTACTGCATATACATGATATGAAACTCTGCTGCTTTTGTTTTGTTCTTTTTAAAACTTGTATCTTTGCACAGTACCTCAGATGCATCCATTGTCATGAGGACAACATCCTCCCCTCTATGTGGTCCCTCATGGGGAAGGTGTAAGAATTCAATTAAATGCAATGGATGCTCATGAAACACATGGTACAAATAGAGACCTGTAAACCAAGTCCTTCTGGAGCTGTACCCGGTGCTGATCAGAACTCCTCCATGTGATGTCAGGCAAACCATACATGCAAATATTTTCCAACTCAGATATCACCCAAGGGTACCCCTATAGCAAGACTCTGCAGACCTTGTTTCATCTGCTTCACACCACCAACGAGAAAAAGTGACTGTGTCAGTGCTTGTCAGAGCTCTTTTGCAGTCCCTCTGCTTACTTCAGTGCTTTGCATAAAGACCTCTCAAGAGGTTTGACTACCACCATTTCATAGTCAAAATGTAATGTAAAGGAAATCCATCTGTGCACTAGAAAGGACTGAAAATATTAGCAGCTATCACAGTCTACCGGCCAGCTTAATTCCCTGCTTTGTTTCACAGTGCAAGGTACTTGGCAGGACTTCTGCAGTCCTAAAAATGAAATATCAGCCGATCTCTAGCTTTTTTACATTCTGACAAGCTCTGCAAAATATTTGTTTGAGTTTTTTTCCTTCCTTTTGGAAGCTGCCTCTAGGAAATGCAGTTGTGAATTAGTATGGAAAAAACAAGTTAATTCTGCCAACTGTACATCTCCTGATGGAAGAGTTCCTCTGTTTTTTCATAAGAGTCAGCAAATGTGTGGTTTCTCAGCCATGTAAACATAGAAATGAATTTAAGAGATAGGACTGAAAAGCTCATCTCACAAGATATTTTAAGTCAACAGCACATGTAACCAGCAGCAACATATACTATATAAACATCGTGCTCTACAAAGCAAACCTGTTTACTGTATTTATACAAAAATATTTTTTATTCAATGAGAAAGCATACAAAAACCTAGAATGATCATAATATGATTGCAACTAGTTCTGTAAATATGTTTTTAATTCTGCATTTAGTGTTGCAAACCATTAGTCTATTATAGACAACCATTGCTTTTGATGTTGAGATGTGCCATGGAGATACATTTTTGAAAAAGAAGATGCTATATGTAAGGTATAATCCTTATATATTCTGTAAAGATTGTTTAGCAAAGGATTAGCCACTAGTCGTCAGTACTCAAAGCTCTGGAATATACAAACAGGGGTTTTAACCAGGCTTCCTTCATTACATGCATTATAACTTCGCTGAATAAGCATCTTGATGTAGAGCACTTCCAAGGGACTGCATACAAGATGTATTTGTACACACTCTATTTCAGCTCCTGTGACAAACTGGTTGGCAAAGGGAATTTTTTCCACAGAAGAACTTGGCAAAATAATACTAATAAAAATTTTTGAGCAAAATATACAGCTAAAAACTGTAAGCCACAGTAACAAAAGTAACAAAATCTTCTAGTTAAAAATGAAAATATTTTTATGTGGAATTTGTCTTCATATGCCAAGAAATATGTAGTTTTGGTGTCTCTCATCTCAGCTTTCCTCCAGGTGTTGGCATAAAATGATGAATGGGATCCCCAGGTTACTCTTAGCTTTCCACCTTCATAGGACCCTTATGGGCACCCTGAGAGTTACTTGCTCTCCGGTGTGCTCCTCTCCTTGGAGGAGAGGTGTTTTTCTCTGGAAATTATCTGCGGAAGGCATTCTTGATTATTTAAAGAATTTACTCAATATTCATGAAATATTTTATTTCCTACACAAAATAGTCACTGATTTTTATTTTTTTAACCACATATTTTGGAATAGACCTGCTATTTCTATTTAGCTGCTACTTAATCTAATTAAGCCCATGCACTCACTGAGAAATTGTCTGAGTTTGGAACAATAAAATGCTAAACTGGGATGGAAGAAAGGATCTCATTTTAATTCCTCACAAACCACCTTCAAAACATCCACAGAAGACCCTTCACAACTGACAAGCCTTTAAAAAGAAGCATTACTGTCAAGCATTCCCTACCCATTTTGCAGTCCCAGGTACCCGTCCGCGTCTGTTATTCTTCCTTATCACAGCGGTCAGTCTCTTGTAAGTCTTGGCTAAGGCACCCCCTATTGCTGCCTGGAAATATTTGCACCAGGTCTGACTGAGTTGTTGTTGTTCAGTGATATCCAAACCAAAATATGAGCGTCAGAAGGTGATTAAAAGCCTGACTTGAAATCTCATGTGAATGTTCTATGTAGAGTTATATATACACACCTCCATACATTAAACATGCTACTTTATGTATAATTATATATATATAATTTTATAAATAGTTTTTTATAAAAATTTATTTTATATTTAATTTGAACATTTATACCACTTCAGTTACCCATCTCTTCACCAGCAGAGACCGATGCACAGTCTTGGTTCCATCATGTTGCACCATCTATGCTTTTATTCTGATTACTGAAGCAGTTTGTCTGTAATACTTAATGACTGCACTCACCTCACAGTTATTTCCTGTGAGGGGTGTCAGAATGATAGCTTAAATTTATACTTCCAGAAAATTAGTGCTATGTCTCAAATTTCTAGTGATCTGGAATTAATGGACTGTGCTGTAAAGCTAAGGTATCAGCTTTTACTGCAGGTATTGTATTGATTGCATGACATGTAATAAACACAAACTCTCAACATCCTGTCCCAGCATGCACATGTACTTGTACCAAACTTGCCCTGAAGTAGTGAGAACAATCTCCACTTCAGTTGTTTCAAAGGCCTGCATAGAAACAAAAGGGAAATCTGCCCCACAACATTATTGAAAAGTTGTTTTGATTGTTTCTTGTAAGAATTTAACCTTCAGTCCAATGGTAATTCTTCCTCAGGAAACAGACGATGAGCCCTCTGAAAAAGATGCTTTGCAGCCTGGACGCCGTATTGTTGCTGCAGGCTATGCCTTGTATGGGAGTGCTACACTGGTTGCCCTCTCCACAGGGCAAGGAGTGGACTGTTTCATGCTCGATCCGGTACAGTCATGGCGTTAATCACATTGCCATAATCTTTTAGAGCCTTCTGTGCTTGGATTTAATCATTTTAGTTACTCCTTGTCTCTAATCTAGGCTATCTATATGATTCTTGTTTTCACCCATGTCCTGGAGCATCCCACCTCCACCTTACAAGTATTTAATAATACATTAATATGTTGGTTGCAATACCTCTATTTGGTTTTTCTCCTCAGTGGAGTGTAAGTTATGAGCATTCCAGACTGCTGTTTTGCACAGACACTTAAGAAAACTTACTCTGAGCAGTGTCTTTGCCTCCACTTAAAGGACGCCTGCTTTTAGATTGCTCTTGATTTTTCTCTCTGTAGAAGAACCTCAGCATGTTCTGTGTTTAGCTGGGGGCAAGGACCGTTTTTCAATACAGTTCATGCAGAGTGATGTCTGATTGCCTGAGTGCAATTTGGATTTATGGCTAAGCCTTCTAAGCTGCATAACCAGCAATTTGCAAAAGCAGAACCATACCCATACAATTGGACATATGCCACCCTTTGGTGCCCACCCTTGGAGCCCAAAAAGTGTTACTGGAGGAATGCAGAAAAGAGACCTCTGGTTTGAAAGAAACAACATTAGATGAAAGCAATACTATAGGAGGTTTTTTGATACGAGAATGCATTATTACGAAACTTCTTTTAACCTTATAAACAGGCTTATACCAAGTGTGAGGAACTGGGAGCTGAGATGCTCTGGTTAGAGACAAAGGAATAGAAGGTGGAAGTTGTACTCAGACTGCAGATAGCAACACCTGGGGGTAGCATTCACTTTAAGATATTTAGGCAAGACAGGCAAGAAAAGTTCAAAAATCAGAAGGCAGTGTAATTTCTTAATTTGTAACCTTGAGATCTGTGGTCAGAAATTCATTATACATCTGTTTTCAGGGCTGCCTGGTGTTCTTTCAGTAAGCTAACTATTAAGAGTTGAATTGCTTTTTATTTATAGTAATAATGTGACAAGTTTTCATGAACTTAACCCAGATTCTGTGCTTTCTGCTCTGTTTGAAATGCTATCAAGCTGTACAGAGTCTGTTGCTAAAAGGACCAAGCTGTACTAGAGTTTCTGCCATCACTAGTGTAGCAACTGTTACAGAAAGCCAACAAGCTTTTCTGCTGCTTGCTAATGGCTGGTCTACCATTTTCTTCTATAGGGTCTTGGTGAATTTATTTTGGTTGACAAAGATGTTAAAATCAAGAAGAAAGGGAAGGTATACAGTCTGAATGAAGGTTATGCGAAGTATTTTGATCCTGCAATGACAGAATATTTACAAAAGAAGAAATTCCCTGAGGTAAGAAAATATTAGTACTGTATCCAATGTACTGCGGGCTGGCAAGCACTGCATTCCACAAAGTCCTGGATGATAGGAAAGGATCTGAAGGCCCCACTGAGTTCAGCCCCATATAATCCTTTTGTGCTATTGGGTCCATTTTGGGTATGTATCCAATGTGGTTTTTTCTGGCACCCTGACGCCTTTCATAACTTAAACTTTGGTAAGTAAATTCATAGCTTGTTCCTCACTGTATGGAGGAAAATATGTTGTACATGAAGAACCAGGTTTTTCAACAAAGCTCTGAAACTGTGCCAGCAAAAAGTGGTGGTATCCTTATTTTCTACCTTATCGGAGTATGCAGCTCAGTCATACGTGCAGCTGAGCATCTGGGGCTAGATTCCACATACTGCTCAGAAGGTGCTTTCAGGCATCTGGGTGGCATCACCTTCTCCTCCCTGTACATGTTTGCATCTGAGGTGTGCAGTATCACTCTTGCACTATCATCTACTTGAATTATATGGAGCATGAACCGACTCACAGGTTGGGAAAAAAAAACCAATGGTGTAAGGCATACTTTCAGTATATTCTGTTAAGAGGATTATACTGTAACCTTCAGAGGGATAAAGATGAGAACATCCTGCACCTGATGAACTTCCTTGTGGAGACATAGAACTCTGTATGACCTCTAGTCAACCATAGCAGGATATCACGCAAGTTCTCAATGTGGAAAACTGGAAGCTCCCTAGGAAGTGTGGCTATGTGAAAATTGATGTATCCAGTAGAAAACTTCAGCATATTGTACCTGGGAAGTTAACAAGTAAGAGTTTAAAATATAATCCTGTGAGAAGCTCCTTCTCACATATATTGCAATGCTGACCTCTCATTTAAATGTGTTTTCTGTATTATCAAATTGTAGCTACAAAGGGTGCCGCATCATAGCGTTTTAAACACATTCATTTTTAATATTTGAGGTAATTTTGAAACTTCAAATTCTGCTTTCAGTCCAGCTGTGAGAGAAGCCGAAGTCCACAACACAAATTTCATACTTCCTGAAAACTAATCCAGCTGAGAAAGAGAAGTGCCTCTCATTCTACTCATGTTATGCTGAGCTACGTATTCAGTATAATGCACCAACACCGGATTTACTAATATGTGTTTTTTGCAAACCACCCAAGTGCTGCTTAAAGTAAAACTCTCAGTCAACCCCAGGCAGCCTCAAAAGATCAAACTCAGTGGAATGACCAGGCAGATATTTCACCACAGGCTGAGTGAGGACAGCTCTATCATGTGATTCACTAATCCTTAGGACACACAGGAAAAACCTCATTTACAAGCACTATTTTATCTTAAATCTGTGCTTCATTTGAGGAAAATCTTCTGGAAGTGTCATTGCACTGATGCAATAGAAGTTTGCAGAAGGTGTTTTCGTTACTTTAAAGCAAAAAACTAGTGGTGCATAGGTTATTTAGGGCAGCAGAAGCCTCCTCAAGGGTGCTGAGCAAGCACATTGCTTTGCTACCCTGAGAAGTAGGGCTGTCTGCATGAGAAGGGCCAAGGCACCAGTGTTACTGCCACAAAGCACAAAAAAGTTCCCTGCCTATCTGAAAGCTTGTTAGGAACCTGACTTTTGGAAACAGCATATTTGCTGTTATTTGCATTGTGGAAGGACAAGAGGGAGAACGTGTCACCACACTTCCATAGCATGAAAACTGCTTCCTATCATCACCTGTAAACCTTACCAGCTACGTTGGTGATGATCCTACCTTCCCTGCAGCACCCTGACAGCGCATTGCACAGCTTTGGTATCTTTGTCTTCCTCTCTTCAGTATGCAGAAGGGCACTGGGGGTGTCTGCTGGATACCTCCCGCCTGTGACTTGAGGAGGTGTGGGGCATGGGGGACCCCTTCTTACTCAAGCAGACCACTTTGATCCTGTGGCCTTCTGGTCACTAGAAGCCAAGAGACTAGGCATTTATTTTAGCTATTTGTCACTACCTTACCCCTTTTTTCCTTTGATCCTACCTGTATTTCCTCCCTGTAGTTCTTGATCAATATGCTGTTCAGATGACACTAACATTGCCAGAAAAAATCAAAAAGTTAGAAATAAAACAGGAAAAATAGGATGCTGTCTTGTATTCTGTATCACTGTCATTAGCAATCAAATATTACAAATCAACTGTTTATGGGGAGAGGAGATATTTTCCCTCACTATGTAACCAGCATTCCAGATCAGACAGTTAAGGATTTGCCTTAGCAGTGACATCAAAAACTTAGCAACAGCACATTTTAGCACAAAGCATTCTTCTGCCAGTCAGCCAAGATGTGCCTGAGTGATTTTAAAAAAACTAATAAAAACTCTGTGCTTTTGTTACCATATCTGTAGGTGGACCAAGGGATGCAGGGTTTTGCTGCTGTATTTTTCTCCCCCCACTCTCCTAAGTCATTACAGTTATGCGAGAAAAACATGGTCTTGTTTTGCTGTGGATGAACATAGCTGTTGGAATATCTGTGGAATAAAGAAAGAAGTGAAAAAGTAACTCCCATCACATTGTGAAATAAAAAGAATCACAGGACCTATCTGTTACGAGCCATTTTTTGTTCTTTTGGGTTTCGCAAACAAAAAAAACGAGGGTGAAACTGAGTGCAATCACAGGTTTACTCAAACACCATGAATGCTGACTAAGGGAACATCAGGGTTTTTCAAATCCTTCATTAGCATCAGCCAAAACAGTGTGAAGTTCTCACTGGGCAAACACACAGCTTGATATTACTCAGAACTCAGTATGGAACTCCCTATCACTCATGCTCTGCTTTTTTGTTTGAGAAGAAAGCGTAGGCAATATGCCGACACACACGCAACCCCTATTAAACTTCTCATCTGTAAGACAAATGCATAAGTGACCAAACACGAGAAACGAGAAGTAGCATTTCTAATAACTGAAAGGACTATTTATTCCTCCCATGCAGGTAGCTGGACTCTAAGAAAGTGAAGCAAAAATTTTATTTCAGTCTGTAGTTCCAGAGATCAGTATCAGAATGAAGGACTTTTTCATATGTAATTTTCTCAGCACAGATTCAGCTCTGTGTTTCTAGCAGATGAATTTCTATCAGGGTAAAAAGCAATTAAAATTGCAAGTGTGATCTTGTCATCCTCACATAACAATGCCCCTATACACATAAATTGTGTAAATGACCTGCTCATGAATAGGAAATCCAGCTCATCCCAACTGCATCTGGTGATCTGTACTCAGGTGGCTCAGCTCTGCCAGGATCTTTCATTAGACAACTGATCCAGACAGAAAAAATGTGCAGAGATCTTTCCAAACCTGTAGCATTTCAATACACAATTGCATGTATTAAATGTGTGCAAAGTCCCCGTGTCTAATAATTTTCTGAGGAGGCACAAATTCCTCCTCTGCTTCATTGAAGACAGAGTGAAATATACTGACAGATTTCTTGGCATAGTAGCTTTCAAAACGCTTTCCTTCAGTTTACATTTGTATTGTGTATCTCCTCCTTATAAAAGTACGGTGATGCATTGCTTTCCTCAGGTTATATATTTGGTGTATATAACTTCTATTTGTGCAAGACACCTTGTTTGTCTTCTATATTTCCTACCTTTCCTTACCATTTTTATAACCAACAAACCTGGCACTGATACGAATACTCCCCTGTTTGCTCTTAGTAAAATGAACTCTCCTTCAATTGCATTAATTTCTCAGCTTAGAGCAAGGAAAACCATATTCATGAATAAACTGCTTTCTCTTAAACTAAGCTGCAGAATGAATGTTATGATCAATTTCCCAACTTGACGAATAGGCTAGAAGCCCACTGGGAAACATGTAGACCTGTTGTGAAAAGTGACATCCTACGTCTTGCCCAGGCTTAGGAAACAGTGAAGGATCAGCAAACAAATGGATACCTTGTTCTGATAATGCCAGGAAGTTTTTACTCACTTTGCAGTGAGTTTGCAACCCTCGCTTTTTCAGACTGGGGATTGATACCAAATTACAGGTTGTGCACTCAAATTACAAGCAGCTTGTTTTCTATGCTGTGAATGCAGCTCTTTAAAGTGCTTATTTTAGAACTCCATAGCCAATCTTACAAAAAGCTAAGCTTCAGGCTGGTTTAGGCATTTATAGTGTCCGTAAGCAGCCATTGATGTAAGCAGATTTGATTCCTGTTTCGTAAGAAAATTACATTTGTCTGTGCTACTAGCTGTCTAGCCTGGTAGATTTAATGCTTTACTCTACGTTTTTCAGGATGGCAGTTCCCCGTATGGTGCCAGGTATGTGGGCTCCATGGTAGCTGATGTTCACCGTACATTGATGTATGGTGGGATTTTCATGTATCCTGCTAATCAGAAGAGTCCTAAAGGAAAGGTAAATAGTTTGACTTACTGTCTGGGGAACTTAGTCAACCTAATTCCTCTGGTTTTCCCACAGAAGTAAAGGAATAGTTTATATATATAAACAGATAATAATTTTGCATCCCCTGGAGAAAATTATTAATTGATACGATGGTCAGCTATCAAATTTAGGCAAGAAACTTAAACAATTGTCTATTTAGGCAATTCCCAATTTAGGCCAGATATCTTCCCGTGTGCTTTTCTATTACAAACTACTCAAATGATCTTCACCGCAACCAAGGGCTTTATTCATCTTTCTGAAGTGAAATATTTCAGTACCACAGAAACCTGCTGAGATACCGGTGACAGCTGGCATAGCTCCGGGGGGGTGGGGGGGGGGTGGGGGGGATGGGGGGGAAGAGGAGGAGGAGAACAAATAAACAAGACCAAAACCAACCAAAACCAACTAAAATAAACCAGCAAAACCCCCTCAACCCATTAAACAGTGTGGATCTGTTTGTGTATCAGAGCAACAGACAAAAAAAGGAATTTGCTGTGTGTGAGAAAATTGGATTTGCTGATGGGCCTCTTCAAATTAAACTTTTTGTTTTGAAATCTGTGTTAAGCCATTGGTGTAGAGAAAATACGAGAAACAACAAAATTACAAACGTACAAAGTACAGAATTTTATAAAAATCAAGATTTCTGCATGAGTTAGCCTACATTGACTGTTTGATCTGGTTTGCACTGCCATAATGAAATAATGGAGAGAATATTGAAAGAAGCAAAACTACTACCATTACAAATCAAAATTTTCTTCTTTCCTTCTCAGAGGGCAGATGTAGACAGTATTTTCCACATAAACCTCTTCTTGATAGAGAGATCATGCCTTTGTGGCAGGTACCTGATCATTATCTTCTTAAAGACAGTCTATGCACCTAGCTGAAAGGAACCAAATGTCATAGCAAACATAAATGACATGCATGTAGGCTCTAGCATATAGAACTCCTTCATTAGGTTAAAGAAAGAGCTAAAACAAAATGCTCAATAACCAGTACTGGTTCTATCAGCCAACAAATAGATCCTCTTTTCAAATTAGATATATTAAATCATAATTTTTAATCAATTTAAGGCTTATAGTTATCTATTAGGTGAAAAATGTTAAACCAGTCTGGAGACAGAGCCCATCTGAAGACTCGTAAGTGCAATTGCACTATTATCTGAAGGAAAGCTGCTTTATTTAAGCCACACAGTCACAGTATAAGCAGTAAGAAATTCAAGTTGTAGTTCCACTGCTATATTCTGGCTCATGATCTTGCAATAGTTGTCCACGCACTGAAAACAATGGAGACTTTGGTCCTATGTTGCCTCTCAGGTGGAGACCTTGTACCAGAAATAGCATTTTAGAAGATACAAATGAAGGTGATATGTGTTATTAAGTTTTTGACACATGGTTTCATCACAAACAGCATGATAAAGGAATGATGGGTAGTAATGTCCTGTGTCCAACCCATTTCTTTGTCTCTTTATACTGTTGCATTCTGTCATGATTTCTTTTCACCAGGAAATACTCTCTCTTTTGCACATATGAACAGCCCTTTAAACATAGTATGTACTAATATTGTCTCACATAAGCACTTCATAGACCATCAAAGATTCAACTAAACCTATGCAAACAATGTCTGTTAAAAACCAGCCAGCTACTACCCGTGTCCTTTTAAACACAGAAACTTTTGGCATATGTCCCAAATAAGTTTGCATTCCACACAGGCACTCCAGAGGCAACTTTTTTAAAGTTGTGAACAGATATCAAGGTCCAAACCAAAAGTGTGTCCATACCAAAAGGGAAAATTTGCTTTTACTAATTACTGCAGTTACTTCTGAAAACGGAGTAGCTATCTGGATGAGTTCAGGCAATTAATATCTATTCACATTTCTGAAGAGTGAAAATGAAATACTGAAATTTGAAACCAGGAGCATCAAGTTTCAAACTCCAAAATATCCTGACCAAACACAGTGTGATTACCCCAAGCTTTGAGGTAATCATAAAGCCTCCATATGAGAAGAGATTGTGACTTTGGTTTCCAGGTACTGTTAACTTAGCTGACTGAACTCTTCTGCTGATGTCTTTAGCTGACAGCTACTTTTGACATTTTTGGCAAAATACAGTTTCACTGGTGCTGCACATCAGTCCATCAATTTGGAAACGATGGTGGTGATGCTTGGATGCAGGGTCTGTACACTGTTCCTCAAAACAGAAGATGTTAAGGGAGGTGAGAGGAAGAAAGTGAAGAAGGTGGGACTGAGAAACATTGCTACTTAGGTCAATTGACAAAAGGAAGGTTAGGTTCTGGTAAGTTCTTTGGTGCAATTTTCCCCAAAGGCAATCATGTGCTCCTTCTTTCTTTCTAGCTCCGACTTCTCTATGAGTGCAATCCTATGGCTTTCATCATTGAGCAGGCAGGTGGGATGGCAACTACAGGGACTGAGGCGGTGTTGGATGTGAAACCTGAGAGTCTTCACCAGAGAGTCCCTCTCATCCTTGGTTCTCCAGATGATGTGCAAGAATACCTCACTTGTGTACAGAAACATCAGAAGAGCAGTTAAAGGCTTTTTGGCATCAGAACTTGCTCATTCATCTTCAGTCTGCAGGAAAAGCTGTACCTTTCAAGATGGTGGATTCTAGCAAGTAGCACCCATCTCCAAGTGAAAATCCCACTTTATGAGAACAAGAAAAATAGTGGGAAAAACAAAAAAAAAATCATCTTTTCTTGCAGACAAGCATAAAAAAAAAATCCACTATCTCTGATTTATGCAGTGCAAATTTAGAGACAGAGACCTGATTGCTAAACAGGAGCAAATTACTTTATATAGTATTAACAAAGGAAGTGGATTGTGTCAGTACCCTCATTTGATGTGAAGCTTTACATCTGAAACTACATGGTTGGCATGGTTTTCACATCAACATTTGCAATGCCATTATTTGGATTTTGTGTCAGAGGTTTAATTGCAAGGTGCTTTTTATCCTGACAGCCCTGAGAAGACCGAAAGTCTCATGTTGTCAGAAAACAGTGTTTTTAAGCTTCAAATTATATATGTCTTGGGTAATTAATAAAGATGAAAAGGCTGCAATGTTGCCAGGGTAATTCAATTCTCATAAGAAGGAAAATGCCCTCTGTTATTGCAGACAGGTAATTGTCAGTGGCACAAATTCCAATAAACCGTTGCTATGGATGTGACACTCAGATCATGCCTATTCCCTGTTTATCCATTGTCCTTTGCAACAGAAGATGAGCTATCACCACAAAGCTGTTACACCTCCATTTTCTTTTACTTTGAAAGGTTCTAATTTCAGATTGAAGCTTGCCCTTTTCTACACATTACACTGGCATTCCTACCCACCGCCAGTACACCCATCCTGTCGGTACCCTAGCGCTGTCTCAGGTTTGACACTGCCTTAGGAGATCAGGAATCAGCTCTGATGTGATACTGTGATACTGTGTGACACTAGCAGACATTCATTAACCAAAGAGAGCTATTAATTAAGAGAAATGTGTGATTATGTTAAGTGACAAGGGTGTGAAAACTGGGCTTTAGGTCACTTTTAGTATTAGACATCCTGATACTTAGACATCCTGATACCTTTTTAAGCCTCCTGTCTCATGATATGGATGTTTGTTTGGGCAACCATCTTGATGTAAGCAATTCCTGCCCCTACTGCTCATTTTCACCACTACTCCATGCCCTCAGTCATGGGTTACATGGAGTAGTGTTGTCTTGTATGCTGGTACAAGACATTATTAAGAACATTCTGTGAATTACAGTAGGACACAGATAGGAGAAATTCATGCCAGAATAGAGTTAAGTGCCAGGAAACTCCAGTGGCTATTTTTAAACTTACAACTATGTTCTACTATTCAAAAAGAAGCAGGCTGAACAAAGGTAAACTGCAAATTATACAGCACGTCTTTATCCTTAGGCGTTGTTATCCCAGTGGGGAGGGTGTGATTTCAGTACTGCTTCAGGTATCAAAGCACTCTTTTCACAGGTGTTAATCTGGCACTCTGTAAAGCTGTAACAGTGACAACAGGATCAGCAAGTACACTGTGTACTTGTTTATTCTGCTCCTCGTCATGTGCTTCCTGAATCTCTGCTATCAACAGCAAAACGCAAGGAACACTTAAATCCTCGAGAATCAAGAGGAGGCAGAAAAACCTGTGAGGGTTTAGGTAACAGCAAACTTTACACTGGAGAACACAATTGTGCACTGACTATGAAAGCTAGTAAATCAATTTGCCTTCAGACAAAGTATGCACACAGTGTATGTACCCATATATATGTTCACAAATATATTTTATACATACATAGTCATGCCCTACCTCTCTCCCCCATGTTCTCCATATAAGAACAAAAATAGTTGTTGATGTCACTGATTTACTGAGAGACTCTGTTGCATTTTTAAAATCAGGAGGTGATCCTGCCCCTCTACGCTGCTCTCGTGAGACCTCACTTGGAGTATTGTGTGCAGTTCTGGTATTCTCAACATAAAAAGGACATGGAACTGTTGGAACAAGTCCAGAGGAGGGCCACGAGGATGATCAGGGGACTGGAGCACCTCCTGTATGAAGAGAGGCTGAGGAAGTTGGCTGTTCAGCTTGGAGAAGAGAAGGCTGCATGGAGACCTCATAGCAGCCTTCCAGTATGTGAAGGGGGCCTATAGGGATGCTGGGGAGGGACTCTTCATTAGGGACTGTAGTGATAGGACAAGGGGTAACGGATTAAAAGGGCTGAGAGAAATGATTAAAGACAGAGAGAGCAAGAACAGGGTCTTGGTACTCCCCGGTGTAACTGCAGGGCCTCTAATAATAAGCCCTTTTCAGGGAAATGCTGAAAGAAAGTTTGTATAGCAGTGGGTATACACACTCTAATGACTAAGTTCAGTGTTCCTGTGCTGGCAGTTAAATTAAATATCTGCACACTGCAACATGTCAGTCATTCAGTGCCCTGATGCCAGCGTAGAACCATAGAATAGTTAGGGTTGGAAAGGACTTTAAGATCTAGTTCCAATCCCCTGCCATGAGCATGTCACATCAAACTGTGTCACCCAAGGCTCTGTTCAACCTGGCCTTGAACACCGCCAGGGATGGAGCATTCACCTCCTTTGACCTGCTGGTCATGCTCCTTTTTATGCAGCCCAGGATATCGATAAATCAGCAGCACCAGAGTTGTCTTCATTTAAGTATGTTTTCACAGCAAAACCTGCATATAATCCCAGCTGCTAGACTTCCCGTGACTTTCTTTTTTTCCCTGAATTTACACCAGAAACACATTAGTGAAGGAGCTAGCACTATGTCACCCACGTGACAAACAACTGCTGTTTGGGTGGCTGTTGATGCTTAAATGATAATGCTTAGATTTTGTGGGCTGCAGGGTGGCTAGTATCTAGGAAGAGATCAGTATCTTCCCTGTACAAACAACCCATGCAAACCCCAAGTGCAGATTAAGAAGGCAGTGACTTTGGTGTGAACTGTGGATTTTCTTTGCCAGAGTTCCACTTTAACGTACCACACCTATACTGTTTTCCTAAGTACTTCTGTGATATCTGCTACATCTAGTACAACTCTGCAACCAGACTGCTCCACTGAGCCCTTCTTAAACCATCAGGACAGAGTTTTCAGTTTCCCTTCCCAGTGCAACACCATTTCAGACCATTTCTCCAGAGCTCTCCAACAGAAATCACAGGGTGTCTGTGGCGGTGGTGATGGTGGTGGTGGGGTCACGATCTACAAAGCCCTTGTGCTACTGAACCACAACTTCCCTTTACGGTCAGCTGCCAGGGTGTCTGAGGGCATCCAGACAGCTGAGAAAACAAGACTTAGCTTGTTGTTGTGGCTTGTCCTTTTTTAAGAATCCAGAGACTGCATCTAATGGTTGGAGCAGGGAGGGGATGTACCATTAGCAGCCATCAATGCCGCCTACAGGTGCGAGGAAGCTGGCATGGACCAACACTCACTGCCTCTGCTTACTGAAGGTGATGCCAGGTATTATTCCTTGGATACTCATCAGCATGATACAAAATTATAAATACATGGAAACACCAAGTACATGGAAGAACAGACACACATTTAAATATTAGTTCACATGTGTGCCTTTGTGTTAGTATTTAATGGTTTCTTATGAAATTATATATAAACTAGATATTTTATATAAGTTTTTTTTTATTATGGTTTTATATATAAACCACTGCCAGCTTGATTTCCTACTACTTTTGGAGGAGGACATGGAAAGGAAAGTATACTAGTTGTATTGTACCAGGTATGTAACAAATATGACTATTCTTAAAGCACTGGTTTGTGACTTGTTGCAAACCTAATTTTTACTTCCAATTGCAGAACACATTTGCATTGTTTCAGAAGTAAAATAAAAGCTAACTATATCTAAACCTGAGGGTATGCAATAGCAGAAGAAAATGCAGAAACCCCAGCAGTCTATTATAAAATGAGCAGATGTTCACCAATTGCTTTGACTGGAAATTAAGTCAGTCTGAACAGCCAGCCACAGTGTTGGCCTTGTGACTGCAATCACAAGACCAGGGATCAGAGAACAGGTTGAGGCTGGCAGGCTTCCCACCCAGCTTGCGGTGCCCAGCCTGCCTGTGCTGCTGCCTGCCTGCCAGCCCAGCGCTGCAGGCTGCTGATCCTGGACCCTCTGCAGTGGGAGCTCACCCTCCAGAGACAAACCAAGACAGCTGAAACACAGATGATGTTTGAAATGTTGGCTCAAACGTACCTTTGGGCATTTGTATCAAAAGTCAGTACTTTCATTCTATTTTCCATGAAACACACACACGGAGTTCTGTTGTTTGGGTTGTTTGGGGTTTTCTTGTTTGTTTGTTTTTAAATAAAGACAATTGATATGTGTGAAAAAATCAGGCAAGACTTTTCTTTCTTTGTAAAATGGAAGCAGTATACTTCATGAAAATTACAGAGAAAGCCCAAAAAAGAGCTCTCAGTACACAGCTTATACTACCCAGTCGGGAGAAAAGCATCATTGGTACTTGTGAAACAGAATTGAGGGATTAACAAGGAGAAAGATCATTAAGTCCTTCAAGACATCAAAGCTAGAAGGATCTGTTTTCCAGAGATATCCAGTGCCCAAATGTGGGTAAAGCAGCGAACAAAATGAACATTGAGCTAGAGGATCTGCAGGCAGTTACCCAAAGGTACAGAACAGTCCCTACCATTCAAAATTTATGTCATCATGGGCAATATTCACAAACCCCAGGCACTGGTACTGAAAACACTTTCAGGTTTTGTTCCTAGCTTTCTGCAAATACAGATGTGGTTTCAATAAACAAAAATAAAAACCTCAAACCAAGCACGTGATCTGATTTCACTGAACTGATTTTAATACTGCATGGAGATAGGTGACAGACACGTTTTCCCCCGGAGATCTGCCTGGGGTGGGGATTGCTCTTACCCAGTGCGATGATTTACATCGTGGATTTGCAGGATCCTGTTCATTAGGAGCCCAGCAGGTTTCTGGCAGTGGATTTTGCCATTCTGGCCACTCTGACCAATGAAGCGAGCTTGGTAAACCAGCTTGGAGAGGGTGTTGGCCAGGATAGCTATGTACTCACACACTGATAAACACAGTTTGGCCTAAGTATTCTTGTCAGCTGCTGAGCAGATCACCCAGTGCATATTTTATCAGTTTTGAAGAGACTCCTCCATAGAGG